AATTGGATAGTTATGTATTTGAACTTTCAGAAAATGAGTCAGTTCTCTCAAAAATCAAGGAAGATAGAAAATTAACAATTTTTCAAATTACAGAAAATTCTTAAACACATCTACTTACTACAAAATTGACATCTTAGAAAATCGCATGTATTTTCTATAAAGTACAAAATCTGGGTCTTTTATTAACTATAGAATAATTAACAGTTTTATAAAAACTGGAAAATGCTTGATGATTTTATAATCGATTTTCCATAAACTGAAAATTAATTTCTGCTAACAGTGTACCAGAATAACTGCAGATCATAGTTGAAAATTGTTATGTGCGTCTAACATAGACTATACTTCATCGTGCATTTCAATATTCGTATATATTTCTTTTTTTTATTATTTTGCTACATAAAAAAGACTAATCGTATTTGCCCCCACTTTTGTCTCTATGATGAGTTTATTTATAAAATAAAACAAGCATATCTTAAATTACAAAGGTAGTGAATTTGTAATTTACATTTTCAACTATGGATTGTAGACGTAAAAAATAATACCTGCGCTCAAACCATATATAATATGGGTTTAACAAGTCATTTTTCGCTCGGGGAATCGAGTAAAAATAGACGGTCACTAGATAAACTTTTTATTATCCTCCTTCATTGCAGTCACTTTGCATGATTTCAAATTTAAGAACGCTTTGGCTTTCACAGATTTCTATGCGATGACTATGACTCGACATATTTTAATATTATCTTATGGACATCGAAGTTAAACAGTTAAACTCTATGAAGTTTAAAGTTACTGTAACACACAATATCTGGAAAGGTCAATAAACAGAAAAATACGAATTCAGTATTTTGTGTACCTTACAATTGTACTTCACAATTAACGTAAAAATTTTGTAAATCTATACTAGAATATAAAGTGTTTGTCTGTTTGATTGTAATGCTATACAAATCCACATGTTTGATCCCAGAGCAACAAAATTTTGCATGGCGTCTACATTCATCAAGAGGAAGACCGTATGCTATGTGCGATCCCAAAATCTCCACCCACAGGGTACCTCCCTTGATAAATATATATATATCGTTGAAATTTTTTCTGAAAATATTTGAAAGGAATCAAGTGGTTTTAATTTGAAGTAATTTTGAAACGAAAACAGTTAGAAAAATTTTGTATGAGCTGAGTTTTGATTTTTGTAAGAGATTTTTTTTAAATCTAATTTAAGGTGAGTTATTTTAATTTAAATTTGAGAAAAAAAAACAAATTTATCAATTTTTTATATTTTATATTTTTATATTTTAGATTAAAAGTGCTGCCCAAAAAACGACCATGTCTTTAAACTGAAAGCAGTTTAAAAGATATAATGCTTGATAGAAGGGCTTCAGAGCACAGACAAACTCAACTCCAATCACATAATTTAAGGCAACAAATTGCTCGAGCTTCTGAATCACCAGAAAGAAGACAAAGTCGACTCGAGACACAACGTTTACAACAGCAAAATGCTCGAGCTTCAGAAACAGACGATGAAAGAGAAAGTCGTTTGAGAGCAGACAGAGCAAGTCATGAAATTGCTCGAGCTTTTGGATCACAAGAAAGAAGAGAAAATAGGCTTGTAGATCAACGAAGAAGGCAATCAAATTTCGATTGTCAGGCTCAGATTCGTTTCATAATGAGGCTTTTCATTATGATCCAAATATCCCATATCATACTCAAATTGTTATTGGGAGAATGGATCAAGTTTGGGAATTTTGTACCGCAAAAAAATAGAAAGGAGAAACGCCACGAATCTGTTGCTCGAATGGAAAAGTTTTATTGCTAGAACTGTAAGAACCACCAGATGTCCTTACGAATTACATGTCAAACAATGATGCAGATTCTATATATGTAAAGAAAAACTTACAACTACTCAACAATTCTTTACAAATGACATCGTTTGGAACAAGTCAACCAATCCCAGTTCAATAAGGATTTAGTCCAACATTTAAAATCCAAGATCAGGTTTATCACAGAGCTGGATCACTTTTGCCACTTGAAGGTGAGGATGCAAAATTTCCTCGGATTTATTCATGGGTGATGAACAAAGCAAAGTAGATCAACGCTTAGTAAATAATCCTGGAGTTAGAAGGGATATTTTACTAAAAATTCAACAAATGTTATATCTGGAAAGTAAATATGTTTGCGATTTCAAGAATGCTCTCGATCAAATGCCCCAAGACGACATGCAAATTATAATTCGTGCTGGCAGAACACCAGCTGGAGAGCATGAACGGCAGTTTAATGCACCTGTTTTAAATGAAGTGGCAATTGTTATTGATGGAAATGAATTTGAACGGCGCGATATAATGTTGCATAAAAGAAATAACCAGCTCCAAAGCATATCAGAGACACACAAGTCTTATGATGCTCTACAATATCCAATAATATTTCCTCGAGGTGAAAATGGCTACTATATCAGTATCAAGCAAGTGGATCCTACAACGAAACAGGAACAAAGGAAAACTGTATCGGCTAAAGACTTTTATGCCTACAGAACAATGGTGACAGACAAAGATAATCACATCTTGAATTGTCGCCAGCTTTTTCATCAATTTTTGATGCCAAAATAGAAAGTGAAAGATTGTTGTATTTATGATTAAATTCCAAAACCTCTGAGAGTAGATGATTACATTCACTTAAGAGATGCCATTGCCAACGACAAAGATCCAAATAATCAAAGACAGTTAGTGATCCTTCTATCGTCTTTTGTTGAAGGACCAAGGTACATGCACGAATATTCTCAAGATGCAATGACCCATGTGAGAAAATATGAAACACCAGATCTATTCATAACATGCACCTATAATCCAACATGGCAAGAAATTAAAGATGAGCTAATAAATAGTCAGAGTCATACAGATCGACATGATTTGACTGCAAGAGTATTCAGAAGAAAGTACCAAACAATCATGGTGTCATCGTTAAAAGAGAAATTTTTGGAAATCTGCTGGATGTAATTCAAGTGTAAAAACCGACCCTAGTGAATGTATTTGGTATTTTTCTATCTAAGGAGGAAGGATCACCACAATTGAATCAATATTTCCTTGTTTTTACTTCAAGCTTTAAAGTGGCTTTGATTTTGTGTAGTAATGTAATCAGACTAGTCTGGTTGGGAGCTCTCACTTGGCCTAGTCCAAATTGGACCAGCCCCATGCTACCACAGGAAAACTAAACACAATAAAACAAATTGTTTTTAACAAAACTTTCTCATTTACAACATTAATTTAAGAAAAAACGATCTTTACGTACCAATTGTTAAAGTACTGAGCGCTCTTATGCTACACTTTTTTTATCGTAATTTTTTATCTTTCTTCTCATCAATGATGAGAAGAAAAAAGAAATTTCAGATAATTGGTCTGAAAATGACTTTTTTTGTATAAAAGTAAATTGTTAACGAGTTTATGATGAATATATTCATTTATGTGTATAGTATTACTATCATCATTATTACAAAAGAAAAATGAAAATTGATTTTATATAGGATGTGTTTGTCGACAAATATGATGCAGTTATTTTTGTCTCACTTGTAAGAAACAAGACGTTTATCATCACTAAAAATTTTACTGCCCGAGAAAAAAAAAGCAGAAAGTTTTTACTATTTTGAACCGGTTAAAGAGATAACAAAAGAACTGTTTACGATAAAAAAAATGTAGCATAAGAGCACTCAGTACTTTAACAATTGGTACGTAAAGATCGTTTTTTCTTAAATTAATGTTGTAAATGAGAAAGTTTTGTTAAAAACAATTTGTTTTATTGTGTTTAGTTTTCCTGCGGTAGCACCCAACATAGAATAGTATTGATTAGTTCGCTGTTCTCATTCCGGGAGAGTATGGTTCATTGTACTCTGTATTTAGTTTATAATCAGTCTTCAAGGATAGTTTTCGTTGGACACACAAATATATGAACTGAATTACTTGTTCTTCTCTTTATATAATCAACTCCCCGCAAGAAATTTGAGTGTAAATCGATTCACGAATTTACCGGTGTACACCTATAGTTTAAAATGAAACTCTTCGCTAAATTAAACTAAAATAAATTTCTCTGAGTGACTATATTTAACTTGCTAAGATCAACAAAACAACAATAGCTACTTACTATTGTTACTCATCACTTTGAAGAACCCGAAATAAAAACCTGATCCACAGTGTCCGTCTCCACCGTATTATAGTGAAGCTTG